ACTCACTCACTCACTCACTCACTCACTCACACACACTCAGAGAGAGAGACAGAAAGAAAGAGAGTGTACAGGTAAAATACTGCCCTTCACCTAGTATTGAAATAATATAATGTGGCCTCCATTGTCTCCACATGCAGTTGCTTAAATGGTTAAAAAATAATATTTGTATTTTTTCATGTCTGAGTCAATTTCAATTGCAGCCTAGGTATTTAAACTACAGTGAAAGGTGTCAATTTTAGGTAATGTTGCTGGTATGATCGATATCACTATATAATATCACTATCGACAGGACAGAGAATCTCTAGATAAAGTGATGCAGCCGTGTGGCATGATGCAGCTGTGGGTATGACACACCGATAAGCGGCAAAGTAATTGTTCATTTAGCGTAATCAAGGTAAAAGTTTGAAATAATGGTGATATTGATTTGAAGTCATATCGCCCAGCCCTACACAAAACCCTGTTAAATATCACAACCTTGTCTATTCCTCTCGGAGTACACATTCTTCAAAGACACATCTACATGCACCGTTACAGTCCAGTATTAATCATGTTGTATTAAGGTCTTGTATGCTTGATTTATTCGCTACAGTAAAATCAGGGTACTTTCACATTTTAGGGAAGATTCACCATGAATGAATTACTCAAGTTGAAACATAGTGTAAAACCAAGAGAAGCACCATATTGTTGCAGACATAGATGCAAAAGGGACTTTTTAAAACTCTGTATGTCTCTATTGAAGGACAGGTAGACAGAAAATGACAGTTATACTCACACTTCTAGAAAATTTCTATTTCATCTAACCTGCATATCCTTAGACGGTGTGATTAAAACTAGAGAAAACCCAGAAAGACATGGGGAGGAACATGTAAATTAGACTCAGAAAGGCTCCAGCTGATAGATTTCAACCCAAGAACTTCCTGCTGACAGGTGACAGTATGAACCACTAGTCAATGAGTCACCCAGACACCAAAATCTGAATTGAATCCCTGAGACAACTCACGTTTATTTTTCATCAGTAGATATGTGTACAGTGTTCATACATATTATAGATACATGCATGTAATCATAAGCTTACAGCTCAAAATCATTATGATACAATGTTCATCGTTATACAGTAGCAGAAGAAAGTTAGACTGTCAGCCTTATTATCATAGTCATAAGGTCATGTTTACATTCGGACTGGTGTCAGCATGTTTCAGCCCTTTATCTGTTTGGTTCTCTCCTACTCTCTGTGCTCACATATACAATATCTGAACACAGTGGAATTCCTAATAAAGCTGTTCTCATTTGGGGAACCCTGTTAACTCACCTGGTAGAGCGAGTATAATAAAGGCTTAGTCCTAACCGCAGCCCTTTGCTGCATGTCATCCCCTCCCTCTCTCTACCTGACTTTCATGTCTGTCTCTCACTGTGTCTATCCAAATAGGCAAAAAATGCCCATAAAAAAAACTTTAAAAAAGCTGTTCTCATCTATGAATTTTGATGTTTCTGTTGTCAGACAATGGAACAAGTATAAAAAAGGGAATGAAACATGTCTCATAAAGACTATCTGTTCACCAGCAGTCACTTTCAAGCCATTTTCAAGCTGCTGCCCTGCTGCTAAAAATCCTGAATTTATTATATTATTTAACCACGACTTTATCTGATAAAATCCCCATTCACATAAGTTCAAGAAGAAGGTTGTGCTGTGATTTTAGCTATATTTACTTGTAAAATGATCACTCAGACAGAAAGGTAGAAGCTCTTTCACGCCTATGTCAGCTGCTGTGCAGTCAATTGAATGAGAGTAAAGGGTGACCTTGCGCTCTTAGGGCAGTACAGGTGACTACGGAAAGTTACGTTTTCCTAAGGTATTTCTAAAAAGTAGCTAGGTTTGTCACTAGGTGCTTTAAGAAAAAAATTTGCTAAACTGTGTGTAACTTCATCAGTCAATCAGTTACAGACAAATTTATTACTAAGGATGCTCTTGCTGTTGTAGCCAATAAAGATGTTTTTTTTAACTCAACATTTGATCCTGTTTTTTTCCCCCATTGTGGAATTGAAATGGGGAATAGATAAGAACTGGAATCGAATCTTCAATTTGTGTGTTTTGACTCTTTTTTGACAAATGAATTGGACTAAAATATGAGTGTAGGGACGTGGAGAAAGTCTGTAACCATAACTGTACAAAAGTGTACAAAAAGAACAATTACACTTTATGGATAGTGAAAAGGCAAAAAGATGAACCGATGAATAGTATAATAGATCCAAAAGGCCTAACATCTGACATCACAATGTTATTAACGCAATATCAATATTTAATTTTTATATATCATGGTTATTGTAAATACTAGTATTGTGACATCCTAAACGTTACCCAACCCTATGATAGTTGCTTTAAAAGTGACCTAGCCTGTTAATAGAAGTGAATTAAATTAAATATAAAGAAGCCATTTGCATATTACAGTATAGGGGTGGGTGATATGGCAAAAATATCATATCACGATTTTTTAAAAATAAAATCAGGCTAGTGACCTAGCCTGTTAATAGAAGTGAATTAAATTAAATATAAAGATTCCATTTGCATATTACAGTATAGGGATGGGCGATATGGCAAAAATATCATATCACGATTTTTTAAAAATAAAATCACGATTTCGATTTTATCACGATCTTAAATTGGAAAAAGAAAAACAGACAATTTAGACCAAAGAACCTTTCTTAACAGATTTTATTTCAAATAGTCGCAGTTTTGCCTGCATGTGCAAACAACGTAAAGTTTAAGGTAAACAACAACAACATTCTGGTTCGTCGTGTTACCACCCGTCGTGTGAACGGTTTCTGTGCCAACTTTGCAAATTACATTTGCTTGCGCTTGATCAGTTGCGGAAAATCCAAACCAATTCCATATAATGGAGGTGGAATTTTTTTTAGTGACCAACTCCGTTTGGCTTTCAGCCATCGCTCTCCATGTGCTACCGCTACACGCACAAACAAGGAGGCGGATAGGAAAGTGCGTCACTGCCCGTAATTCGCTATGATTGGTCGGTCAGGTTGACGACGTCAATACGTCTGGTGCGTCGGTGCATCAGCATAGAACTGCAATTTATAGAATGTGCCCTAGACGATCCCACGATCTTTGCAGTTTGAAAGATCGTCTTCACGTTGTAATCCTTCATGATCTAATATCGTCATATCGCCCACCCCTATTACAGTATTATTCATTAGACACAATTTCTAAAAATTGATTTAGTTAATAAAGTATTTACATTTGAAACTTATCTTTGATGACAGAAGGTCTGAGTTTGAGACTAACCTTTTAAAAATTTTTGAGTTCTGCATATTTAAAAAGGTTGTCGTAACAAACATCACAGTGTGGTCTGATGTACATTAGACCTCACCCAAATGTGATGTACCATTGCACAACAGTGTAATATCAACTGTTGAAACTGCATAGACTTGGAGGACAGCATGGAGCAAACACTAAGTGGCAGCACAATCAGAATTTCCTACTTGGCATACCTGCACCTAAATGCTGATTTGATTTAATGGAACCTTTGGGTTACATTAATTCCATATCCTTCCATTCATTATCACTTTGAACCTCAAGTGAAGGAATAGATGAGATGATGTGATTGAGCTCATCCAGGACTGTCTGCAAGTTGTTTGCTGCTTCCCTGATTGATCGGACAAATCTCATGATCTCAGATCTCACTGGGGTGGTATCTTTGGAAGACTGATCCTGTTCCTGTGATGTGTCTGACTTGTGCACTTGCATCACTGAGCTGGGCAATAGTGCAGCTTGGTCAAAGGTAGACATAGTGTCATCAGTCTCAAACACTGACTCAGAAGGTGCATGCCCCTCTGCGTCCTGTGCCTGTCTAATATGGTGTATCTCTTTGGCATCCATAGCAATAAAAAAGATATCTACTGCTATAAATAAACCAGAAAGCACACCTGTTGCTACCTCTGCTACACGTACTGCCCTGGATGCCTGTGCTGCGATCCTGCCGATGTTCAACACTTGAACTAGTCGAACCAGTTCAGCAATGGAACCTATGCCCCTCCCTGCCCTGAAGCCAAGCCTTGTCAGATGGTCTGTGTTTAACTGGCTATCCTCAGTGTCATGCATGTCAGCTGAGCCACATCTGCTCCTGATGTTCTGTAAGCTGTTGCCAATCTCCTGTAACCACGTGACAACTGCTTGAATTTTCTGTTCAAACTCTTGAAGGATGCTTTTAACAGCTTTGCGATCAGAGGACTGGTTCACCATATTTTTGAGATTTGAGGCACCAGCAGTGACCCCACCAACTGCACTCACTCCCACTCCAACCCCAGTGACAATGAGAGAGGCTCCCAAAGTGAAGGGGGACAGTATAAGGCCCACTATGGATGTAATCCCCCCCACTGCTCCAATCACTCCTCCTGCTAGGCTGCCGATGGTGGCACCTTGATGCACACGTTCCAAATCATCAGCCACATCTCTTAGCATGGTCAGCTTGGTCTGGAGTTCCACCATAGTTGTTTTGGTCTGTTGAAAAAGTAAAGACATTACCAATGGAAAGTTATGCACCTAGGGACAGTTCAATTAAAGAGCAACTTAAAGCCAAAAGCCATTTTGTTTGCTGATCTCCAGAGGTTTTCTAACCTTGCTGCAATGAGGCACAAGGGAACTCCAGGACCCCATGACATCAGTGTTGGGTGTGGTTACAGGTGCAATAAAGCACACTTCTGATCACACCCAACAAAACTCATCAGTGATGCTGGGTGTACGCAGACGTGAAAGACTGCTGTACAATCTGGTGTTACAGTACAGTGTATACAGTAGGGGGTGGGCGATCTGGCAAAAGGTAAGCAAAGCTTATTGGGTAGAATCACGATCCACAATGTTAATTATGATCTGCATACCGTTTCCTGCCCTGATTTTACTGTGAAAGCCCTGACTAGAAGTTGTAATTGGTATCTTTCTGCTGCTTTGGCGCTTCTTTTGGATGTTTGTCAGCTCGTCACTGTTCTTCTGTTTACTGATTGTGTCACATCCCATCACACTTTTTGCATAGTTCATATGGAGCGTTTGTTTGGTGTTATAGCTCAGTGTTTTTATTTGAAAGTTCAGTCGCTGCTGACCAGCTAGCCCTGGATTGTCCCACCTCATGTTTCCCTGCCTGCCGGCAGGTTTCTCCATCCATGGTTAGAGTGCAAGCCACTGTCTTGGACTGCAGTGGGTGATGGTGGTTCATGTTCTGCTCCAGTGGAGAACTTGTACATGTGGTGCTATGCCAAGGTCGCGGAGGTTGCAGAGCAGAAGAAGGTGTGCCATCGGCACCTGCAATTTGCCGGCCAGCTCTTTAATATATGACAATGCGCTGGTTAGCAGCGATTGATCTTTTAAAATTACATATCTAAATATAGCAACTTTCAATGATGCAATCTGTACAGTTCTTCTGAAAAGGAGATAATTTGCCAAAGTAAGATGGTCCACGACATAAGATCGTAACATCACTCACCCCTACGCTGCTCTTTAAAGTTCCATTTGATCAAGCGAGGTATGAATTATATATTAAGAAACTACATTTTTATTCAGTAGTATTTTTTTCAACATTACCTGTGTAATAAGTCTTTATTTGTGGGAATGTGTGATTTGGCTAGAGCTGCCACTGGTCGAGCAATTGCACATTATATTTTCTCTTTTTGCCTTCTTCTTGTTCTCTTCTTCTACTTCTTGATTTTGGTCCCTGATAGCTAAATGTACTCCATTTGCGACATCTACTGATTATTAACATGTCCAGCACACAGGGATGCTGGAAATCAGTCAGAGTTGGGGGTGCTGCGCAAAACTCTTTTGGTTGGATGGAGTTAATGTTAGCAGGGATTTGTTATCTGCCATAGGACCATCTGGAAGGGGTAGCATTGACCTTAGCGCTGATGTTAGTTAGCTGCTGCAAGGGAGCGAGTCGACTGCGGGAATTCTGTAGGATTTTTTTGCTGTTTGGCTTTGGGGCAATTATTCAACAAATCAGAGATTCTTGTTTGAGACATGGTGAAGTGCAGTACTGATATCCAACCCACCATTACAGGTCACTAACAGGTTCTGCTTTACATTTGTGCATCAGATACATTGAAAGTACACTGTGTTCTAAAATTAAATCAAATAACAAACGGTGGATTTCAACAATTAACAAACAACTGTGTTTAAGAGGCTGCTTATGCTCAAATAAAATATGTTCTTACTGATTTGTTTAGTAAACTTGTCTTACAGTTACAGTTCCCTGCCAGTATTGGGTGCTGCAGGCCTCTCAGCATCGCTACTTCCAGCTTCCCTGACAGCACATTATGTAGAAGACTGTTGGGACTGGGGCTTAACAAAGTCTTTTGGACAGTAGTTACCTGTTTAGTACTTAGCCTATTTTGTGTGCAAAGTTGTGCCAGATATTCTCATAATAGATTACAACACTACCAAACAAGCTCTACCAACCTACACAATAAAATCAACACCTTTCTGGCACAGTCCTGAAAAAAATGAACATTATAAGGGTAGGAGTGTTTGCACGGTAGTTGTACAAGGTTCTTTTAAATTGTGAAAGGTTTCCTTCTTTCTGCTTACTTTCTGCTTGACTCATATCGCAATAGTTAGATTGCATTTTTTTCATTTGCTAATGTTGTTGCATCTTTCTGGACTTAATTGTTAAAATCAGTTGAAAAATGTAAATTGTAAAATTTATTTGAAAGCAGTTCTCTGAAGTTTGACTAAAAATATTAATTTGTGGTCTTGTCTAAAACTAGATTAAAAAGTTTTTCTTTGACTAAGACAAAACTAAATTGTTACTTCCCATTCACCAGATCTGAATCCATTAGAAGAACTTTGGGATGTGATAGAATTATCATGTCAACATGGACCAGAATATCAAAGTAATGTTTCCAACATCTTGTGGTAAGAAGAAGAAGAAGAAGAAGAAGAAGAAGAAGAAGAAGAAGAAGAAGAAGAAGAAGAAGAAGAACTTAGCCCATTTAGCTGAAAACACTGATAGCTGGCGGTGTCATACCTTGTTTAAGAGACAGCGTATGATGAAGGGGCGCTCCAGGATTTCACTGGCTGTTGGTCTTGATTGAGGGTCTCTACTAAACATATCATTCAGGAGTTGGTGAAGCTCTGGTGGGAACTTCTTTGGGAGAGATGGGCAAGGACCACTAATGACCTTGGGCATGAGTGTGATTGTCGTCTCTGCTGAGAACTGAAGCAGAATTATGATTAGAAAACACAATTGCAATAAAATGACCCTCCTCATTATTCAGTAGGGAAAATAAACATATTAACAATGAGTTTATTTTTTGTTATTTTACGGACGTCATGTTATTCCGTGTCTGAGGTTAACATTTTGCTCAAAATTTGTCTGAAAGGCAGACAGAAACATATTTTCTGCCATAGACACTGAGAGTCTGCATAATTTTTTAAACATTAACTGTATTTAGATGCTTTTAGTATAATTTTTAGTGAGGATGTGACGAATTGCAGGTGGGGTATGTTGCCATGTTTTACAGTTATATTCTTATTTTACGCAAGTTTTGCTGATACATTGTGAAAGCATGCAGCCCTCTCTGCCATTTTGTACTTTAGTTATGTTTTTCTCTACCATAAACAATGTAGAGGCTCTTACGGTATGTGTGTTCTGACAGTAGAGAAGACTTGATATGTTACCTTGATATGTTTTAAAGTTCAAAGTTACACCGTTAACTGTAAAGACAATGTTGGAATATTTTAGATTGGGTTACAGTTTTTCTCATTTGTTAAAAGACTTTTTCTGGTCTAATGTGTCCCTGTGTAAATTGTTAATTTATCTACATGTGTCAGAATTTTTTTTAAGTATTTCATATCAAAATGCCTCCCTGACTTTCTTTTTCCTTGTAAAATAATTTTGATGACTCATCCTGGATTCATTCCCTAATTGATGTGTCCAGTCAAATTGGATTTTGGATGACTAACCCCACCTATCATATTAAACTGCACTTCATTCTGTGAAAACCTTAAAACCTTACATATCCTGCACTGTAACAGAATGTTTACAGCAAGGGAGCTTATATTATTTTGGGTTAATTATTTTCATCAACTAGAATCCCTAATTTTTAACCATGAGTATGGTTATTTATTTATTTTTGGCCATTTTTGGGTTTATTACAATAGTGATTATGACAGTGAGAGAGAGAGGAAAGTTAGGGAAGATAGAGAGAGAGAGAGAGAGGGGATTCCATGCAGCAAAGGGCCTGAGTTGGATTCAAACTCAGGTCACTGCAGTAAGGACTGAGCCTAAATAGTATGCGCTCTACTGGATGAGCCAGTTGATCTTGTCAATTGATCTTTGTCAATATACTGTCTATAATGCCACTTTTGAATGTCATTAATTTAACTGAATATTACTATAGTAATAGTAATATTATAATATTATAATATAATAATATCCAGTTTACAAATAATGTAATATCTTGATAAATGTGGGCTAAATTGGTCATTTGTTTTATTGCGAACCAATTCTTTACTTGTAAATGTTCATTTAGAAACTGTCTTTTCTATGTATGTAAAAACGATCTAAGAACATCAACAATCAAATTATTTATTGCAAATAGTCGCAATTTAAATAGAAAATGCTGTGTTGGTTTTGTAATCTCATTAATGTTTTGATTCAATATTTATACAACAAACTTTAACATACAAACTAAGGCTGTCACTTTTTATTTGAATTTCAAACATTTTTTCAAACATGGGGGAATTAATATTTCCAAGTTAATAGTTGAATTGTAATGATCTGTTTGAATTCAAAATTTACAGTCTAGAAGTGCAACATGCTGTTTGAAGTAGTTTTACTTGTAAGAGGGCACTCTTACATGTATCAGCTTCACTGAACGAATTCATTCAAAAAAACTGTCATTTGAACTTTGTCTGAACTTGACTTTTGGAAAAAGTGACAGCCCTACTGCAAACCTTTGGGTAACTTACCGCTGGTTTTTTAGTACAGAGCTCCCAGATTATGCATCCCATTGACCAAATGTCACTATAAATAAAGCAAGTATTACTATTATTATTTTAGTAGTAGTAGCATCAGCAGTAACATCAGTAGTAGTAGTAATACAAAAGAGATTTTCAAAAATGTTATGCTTATAATGAAGCAGGTAACAACATTAGACAAAAAAATCCTTAACTCAATTAGCTTATTCGAGTTGAGTCAGAGCAACTTCAAAATATGTTGTTAACAACAACAACAAAAAAAAAAAGAAAACATTTGGCTGGGTTTTCCACCATACAAATTCACAAATGGAAAACACATGGTGGAAAAATGATAAAAAAATATTATAAAGAATTATATTTGTATGCAGTGCAAACTTCAGCCAGAAAAGGAAACTGATAACTGTGAACTGGGCTCAAGATATGTGGAGATACTGTATTTGTTAAACACATTTTCAGGGCTGTCATGCTGGGACAATAGATGGGATGAACAGAGGTTTTCCCCAGGATGCCTTTTCGGATGAAAAGTTATAATTTTTAATTTACTTATTTCAAACTATTGTTAAGCAAACTGAACCAAGTTAGCCTGCAAACCAATTCCTGGCCTGAATTATTGTTTCAGTCTGCCCCTGATGTCATGGTCTTATACTCACTGCTGTACTGTCGAGTCTGAATTCATATCTCACACTATCTATAGCTACAAATTTTTACAGAGGAAAGTGAAAAAGAACTACAGTTTAATGTGCAACTTGTTCTATTGCATGTGTTGTTCTCCAATCATCATAAAATTAATCTGTTTACTATATGATTTTTATTAAGTGTGACACAAACTGTATGTGATGGTGTGTCTCCTGTTGGGTTTTGGTAGGCCAGTCCAAGTCAAAAGTCTGGGGCCGATTTTTATTTCCACTCTAGAATATTAAGAAATACTAAGAAATACAGACACTAGGTTCTCAGCAGTAGAAACAGGTGTGTCTTAACTTTAGATTTTAAACAAATCAATCTCTCTCTCTCTCTTGCTCTCTCACTCATATGATGAGTAGACATATGTGCATACAATCCCGCCAGTGCCACTGTAAGTTAGTAGCTATGGAGTGTAAGATTAGAATTCAGACTGAACAGTACATATTTTAATTTTAGTAGATCTTCTCCATTCACTGGATATTTCATTTTTTGTTGTTTTTTTTATTTAAATGTGTTACTCAGGTAACACAACTTGGCAACAGTTCACTGTTGCTTCAGTTTTTAAACCATGATAAAACTACAAACACGTAAATGCTAAGCAGGTGGACAGAACCACGGGACCAAACTAAACGTAGTCGGGGAGGCATGAGGGACAGTGGGCCCTGCAGTCTGCTCCACCACACACAATTCATCGATCTTTCTCCCTCTTACTCTCACTCCCTCCCTCTCTCTCTGCCCACATCCTTGCGACCCAACAACCAGCTCGGCTGACAGGGAGTGCCCATGTCCAGCCACTTTGTACCCAACATACACCATAATTCATAGACAAAATTCAAAGTCATATTAAATGATCCAGATCTGCCCTTAAAACTAATGATTTCTTTCTTGGCCCATGTTCCATCCCTCCACCAAGTTCAGTGCAAATAGGTTTAGTGTTTTTTATGTAATCCTGCTGACAAACAAGCAAACAAACACAAGCACAGCTTTTCACATTTGGTTAAAAAACATTTTTACCCTTTTTCATCATATGTCCCCTCTGTGAAGACTTCTGGTGGTAGATAAGTCGTTTCCTCCAGATTAGTGGTTGACTTGGTGTTTTTTAAACTGTGTGGAAAAAAACAAACACATAAATACAACTGAACACATGAATACAACAGTAACATATATTATATACACATATATTATGTTTAAAAAAAAAAAAAAAAAAAAGGGTACAGTACTTTTCATGGATTTTTCCAAAATTGCCCAAGCACACAATTCCAAATTTTGTGAAGGATATGTTCTACAAAAAGAGAAAAGTTAAAACTGTAAATTAAGTTACTCTTTATACACAACTAAAATATTTTTACTGATGAGATGTTTCAAAATACAAATGTATATTTGACAGCCCAAAAGCACATTTGTTTTATTTCAAATGAAAAAAAGGTTCATTTGGATTATTACATATCACAACATCAATACATTTGTTTAGACAAACTATCGTTTAATCAGTGTTTGTGTAACGTGTACTACTGTACCTCTGGGGTCAGATGTTTGTGAAGCAAGCCTTTTTCATGAATGGCTTTCAAAGCCATACAGATCTCAACAATCCAGCTCAGTACCTAGAAAACAAATGATGGTACTTCAAGAATAGTAGGAATGTCAGTTAATTGGAAAATGAACTAAAAGTCAATGGACTGGCCTGTAGTATATTTCACTGATGTAAATTTTACTGTACTGCACCTCAGACTCACTACTGTCTGTGATCTTTGCAGCAAGGTTCCCTCCTTGACAGTAGTCCAGCACGATACAAATCTTGTCTTGTTCATCTTGATGGCAAAAAGGAAGAGATTGTTTACCATCTTATGACTAATTATCTTTAGTACATAACTGTGTAAGATACTTCTAAAAAATAGATAAAAACTATTTTGAGTTTGTTTTTTATTTTAATTTTTAAATTTAAATCCATCTGTTTTTAGAAAAAGCAGTGGCCTTAATATGACAACTGGACTTTGTAATGAAAGACTCGACAACAACTGTAAATCCTTAAATTTGGTCAGTTTTGCAACTTTTGAATTTGCATATTTCAGTATATTGTGACTATCTTCTGGGTCAGAGCTTATAAAAACCATAATTGAAACTATAGTTAAGTATAGTCAACTTGAAGTTGACACTTAACCATAAATAAACCTGATTTTTTTCGCTCATTCCTAAGAAATTGATGAAAGTAAATCTCGCAATGTTAAGGAATGTCTATATCCTTTATCAGTCAGAGGAGCATAAAACTTCATAAAAGCAGATTTGTTAAAACTTACCCTTAAAGGAGTCCCTGCTGCTCACAATATGAGGATGACTTGTTCCCTTGATGATTTCTATCTCTTTGTTTAATGCTGTGTCATCATAACTGACTGTCTGTTAAAAAAACAATTATCATTTATCTTTGCACTTTTAGTGACCTTTGGTGGTAATGCAAATTAGGCACAGAGTGGCACAATGTGGAAGAGAAGATAAATACAGAGAGATACACCTAACAGTTTCAAACTTTCATTCTTCGAGTTGCAGCTCACCTCTTTGTTGTTTGAAGGGACACAGAACATCAATAACTGATTCTGACCCACAAAACCCCATCCCCAGGTTGTATTTAGTGATACAGAAGTGTAATGCATTCACTTGAGGAAAAAAAAACTGCTGTTTTAAAAGAACTCTTCTGAGATTTATTTTTCCTTTTCTCAGAATTCTGAGATAATAATCTCATTAAATCAGAAAAGTAGCAAGAATGTTTTTTTTCCTCAAGTGAAGCTATCGGAATATTTTTCTTTTAAGCAAAAGTCCAAAATCCATTTTCTATCGGGGTACGCACTGTCACAGGGCTAACATATAGAGACAAACAACCAGTTACGCTCACATTCATACCTATGGGCAACTTACAATCGCCAACTAACTTAATGTGCGTGCCTTTGGATTGTGGGAGGAAGCTGGATTACCCGGAGTACCCACGCAAGGAGAACATGCAAACTCCACACAGGCTCTGGAACCCTGAAGGCTCTGTGTTCTGGGTTGAAACCCAGAGCCTACTTACAGTGAGGCGACAGTGCTAACTATTGTACTACCATGACTGCGGCCTCTCTCCAACTGGTCAATTTAATCTATCTGCTGCCTTTCACGAGGATGAGAGAGACTGTGATTGGTTAGCATCACTCCGACTCCATCAGCTGATTCAGTTTTCTGTCTACAAATAATGTATTTGCACATTCCACATTTAATCGTGTTGCCCCTGGTTTGTACTACTGCTGATGGTTAGCAGAATCTGAAAAATTAGTAAGGCATTTGATTCATAATCAGTAATTTGACTACTTTTTCCTCCTTTGTGGAGAGTTTGCTCAGCATCTCATCACTTACCCTCTGCAAAATGATCGTTTTTATCAGAAATGTGTCATCTCCCTTTGTGGCAACAACAGCATTATTTGGTATTATTGCATTTTCTGTTTCTTTTTGTAGTACGTAGCCATTCTTTTCCAGGGTGCTCTGTGCTGTCCCCATCTTGGTTATTTCCTAATGAGATACCAACACACAAAAACATTGTAGTATTGTGTACAGGTGTATGTACATGTTTCCAAATCTCATACTTAAGTTAAAAGTACAAACTGCTTCTTGCTGTTTCTCTTTATTTAGGCCTGTATTACCGCACAGCAAACAAGCAGAAACAGTTACCAAGCAAAACTAGATCTTCTCTGAATAATGAACCTACAACTCACAGATCATTCTTTTACTTACTTGTTAACCTTTTCATTACCCAAATTATGTAGGTTTACTAAGCAAAAGCTCTTCCAGCAACAGAATCACACATTTACACCTGCCAGATAGTTTCGATCTATGTTTGATTAAAAAAAAAAAAAATTGAATATATATATATATATATATACATACATACGGAGAGAGAGAGAGAGAGAGCATTTCTTGTGATAATTAAATTACAACATATATAACATAACATAAAAGTACTGTACGTACCCAGATCAAAAACTCATGTGTGACCTGACGTTGGGGATGAGCGTCTACTCTAACAACCAAAGGGAGCTGTCATTTATACTGAGAGGTGAATATTAAGTTTCCCACCCACATAATGTGCTGTCATAGTGCATTATCCTATCACATCTGTGTCAGGTGGTGGAAAAGTACCACAGCCTGATGAGTTGTAATGGGAAAAACTCTGCCGTGGTCCTAAAAACATTCAAGGGTAAACTTCTGTTTACCCTGTGAAATTGTTGAATGAAACAATATAATATTTTAAATCACAAAAGAATTTGGTAAGAAACATCCGATCAGCAAGCTGAAAAGTTGCGTGAGAACTGACTGTGTATGCCAAGTCTATTCTCACGCATCCCTTTTTTGTTTATTCTAAAGAGTTACTGATGTGTGAAAACTGTTTTACGTTTCACTTTTATTTTTTCATAGGTAACCTCAGATCACTGTAACTAATGAGCAATGTAATTATTATTGCCAATTCTATGAATTAGACATTATTTGTTAAAATTAAATGGACCGTGAAAACATCACGAAAGATGTACATGAAAATGTCTAACTTATTGATTTACTGTGTAGTGTACATACCTGGCCTGGCATCAGTCACAAGCCATTAAGGAAGTTCATTGTAAGGACATGCAGAGTTACGGACCCACAATTGACACTTTGCGACTCTTTCCACCATCAAACTATCAAATTGATAGGAAACAGAGACAAAGGACCCCTCTTCCACAAACAGACCATGCTTTTAGCATGTCCGAACGACACAGAACCAGACCAAAGGTCAAAGGGTCAGCTCCAGAGGATCAACCAATGGATACCAGGCAACTGGAGAATATAGGCAGAATCTCCAGTTTGTAACAATAAGACTCTGTCTAATGATATTTGATTGTTTCTTATATAGAAAAGTAACACCAAAAGGACTGATTAACACTAAGGTGTGAATCGTGGCCTCTCTGTGCCATGCATGAACACACACACACACACACACACACACAGACACACACACACACACACACACACACACACACACACACACACACACACACACACACCAACCTCCCTTATTCTGCCCCTCTTTAGATAAGAGTCATAAACTACAACCCACATTCCAATTCTGGGTAGTGACCAGCAAAACTCTTTTCACAGAAACAGATCTGAAAAAGAATGTAAAATTAAATATCTAGCTGTTTTGTAACTCATGAGATGTCCCTATGCAATAGTTTAATCCCAAACTTCTATCCCATAGAATGTTTGAAATGTAACATGTAGATTTTAAGACACTGTCCTTCATGTGACCATACTGTCAGCATCCTTCACACGAGGTAACACACACTACATGACATCCAGAATGTCCATATTATTATTATTACAGTCAAAGAACTGCTGTGTAATCCATATTTATAGACTATTAGCTTTGGGAAATGTTTATGTAATGTTGTTTGATCAATTAAACACTTGTATCATGATTAATTCCAGGTATGAAGGATGTAATATGAAATCAACACTCCTATTACTCGTCTTATTAGTGCAAGTAGTTTTATTTGTTATTTCATTTAATGTTTTGTGGTCATGGTGGAAGATGGATGTGCGAGTTTATAAGTAAACTATAGAATTAAATTATTCCAAAGTTCAGTGGAAACACAGGAAAAGACGAGTGACGCCACTGAAACATGCGCCAGCCCCCCCAGGGGATAAAACAGTCGTGAACAATTCACACAAAGTCAGATTCAGAGATGACAAAAAGAAAGAAAAACCAGAAAGGTTAGAAGTCAGAAATGTTAGAGTTACCAGGCTGGGTCAGATGCGTACATGAACTGATGAAGCCTCTTGGATGAGAGGTGAAACGTCTTCCCAGACAAATAATCAAGTCCAGTTGTTTTTTCGATTTAAACTCCTTTAGGATACTATGACCTAGACAAATGAGAATATGCACAGGCTGAAATTGAAACATGTGACTGTTATAAATATGTAGGTCTCTGGTTGGATACCAGACTCACTTTTAAGACCAATGTGGAACACCTATCAAACAAACTAAAGGTCAAAATTGGATTTTTGTAAAGAAACAAATTATGTTTCTCTTCTGCTAGTTGAAAACCATTGTACAATACATAGTTCTGTCTGCTCTTGATTATGGAAATATTGTTTATATGCATGCTTCTACCACCACACTGAAACCTCTTGCCTCTGTGTATCATAGCACACTGCATTTCATCACAGGTGACACTTTTCTCACTCATCATTACATCCTATATGAAAAGGTGGAATGGTCCTCCTTAAAAAATAGAATTGACCAGCATTGTATGTTGTTTATTTATAAGGCTCTGCTACAAAAACAACCTAGTTATCTCTGATAACTCTAAACAGAGCACTTACAACGTCATGTCACAGGACATTTTAATCTTAATTGTGCCTTTTATTCACACTGAACTCGGGAAAAAAGGGTTTCAAACACACTTGAATGAAAAGATATGAAGTTACACTCTCTTATTTCATTGGAATATTTAAAAAAGTTGTAATTATTTAAATACAATCTACACATTTGCACATGCTTTTTTTATGTAAAGGTGTATGTTGTGTGTATGATGTGTGTCTGTGAAGTGTCTGTGTGTGTCCATTGTGTATAAATGTGTTGATTTTTGTGCACAGGTCTCTCTTGAAAAAGAGATCTTGATCTCAATGAGACTACCTGTTTAAATAAAGGTTTTACTAATAAGAACTTTATGATTTTTGGCAGCCTTGAGGTGTGTGCAAGTTTCGCAAGTATGTTAAGGCCTTCAAAAATCAATTACTGCAGCAGAATAATAATCTCAGCAAAACAATAGGTTCCTGGCACCTTTTTATTACGGATTTACCAGTTATAAATAATATAACTTAATAATAAATAAATGGTGATGTGTTTCACACTTTACAATAAGGGTCCATTTTGCCAGTTACAAATGTTCGTAATTGATAAATAAATGGTTGTTAAGATGCCAAGAAACATCTAGATAGATGGGGAGGGAATTGACTCAGTGGACAATAGGCCACAGATGTCTGTAAAGTGGGACAAAGAATGGGTGAGCAGTACACCAAGTAAAGGAAGTTTATCAACTGTTATACCTGGAATGCTGTCCTAAAGAAGGTATCAACCAGCAAAAAGTATTTCCATTTTAATATCCACTGTGCATAACAATCTAATTGCATAAGTCATATCAACACCTGTGATTATAATAAGTACAGCTGATGATAGCATGTCAAAGTAAACAATATTGCCAAGGCGTTAAAGTATGAATCTGGTGGTTAATTGCTAGTAACTTAACAAATAATGAAGCAGACAGGTACAAATACTGGATGATGGAGAAAATAAAGAAAGATAAATAATTAATGAGATATTAGGTTTAATAGTACAGATAAATGTGGGATCGCTTTTTGGCAAGCAACAGGCCACTGTGTCCTTTTTATCTAATGTGTTATTATAGCTTATAAAGGATTTATAAAGATATAAACTAGTTAATAAACTTGTTATAAACCATTCATAAATCCTTTATAAGGGTAGTCTTATTGTAAAGCGGTACCTAACATTATTATTATTATTATAACAAAACTCACTCTCTGCATACTGAAAACCAGTATACAGAGAGCATAACCTATTGTGGATAACCATGCCACACACCTATGCTAGACTGCCAGCAAAGAATGTCTCAAGTCACTTCCTCTTTCCTAGATGCTTTAATACAAACACAGGTGTCCTTAATACAGAAACCTAAAATAGAGCAGTACAGTCTAGTGAAATATAGTGGTGGACAAACCCAATTCCTTTCCATACCATTTGAATGACAGGATAAACCGCAGCTCTTTTTAAAACCTTCTGAAAGTGGCAAGTCTTAAAGAGCTACAAATGAAACATCTAAATCTATTGAAAGAATGAACAAATATCTGTGAGACGATCTCTGCAGCAATTTATGCCAAACAAACAGGAATGTCCCTCCCCAAACAGGTATGTCTTGATGACAATCAAACCGTAACTGTAAAAATGTGTAGATATGAATCAGAGAAAGAACAATTACAGAATCAGATTAACGCTGAGGTGTGTTTGACATTAACTCTTAAATGGATCTCCTGATGGAACAGAAGTTAGGTCAGTCTGTGATTCTGTATTAATCAGTGGTAGAGTCAGAGAGAATAAGACTTGATTTTCACTGGCACTGAGGTAGGAATCACTTAAGTTTTAGTAGTTATTCTCAGAGGAACTGTGTGATAGAAATGCATTTCTCAGTTTGCTCAATTAAGATTTGTGTGTGTGTGTGTGTGTGTGTGTGTGTGTGTGCTGTGTGTGTGTGTGTGTGTGTGTGTGTGTTTGTAGTAAAGGTGTGGTGCTGCACAGCAAATATTTGCATTATTATTAGAACCAGTAAGACCTGTTTGTGTAGATGGGCAAGTCTCCAGGCCCATGAATAAAATGAATAAAGCGGGCAGTAAATCTTTAATGCTGTTTAGCGTCAACATTGGACCCTGACTGTGACATCATCAGTTAGCGTCAAGCATGACTTTGCCCATCTTAGTGTTGATGCTAATAATTTGGATAGGTGCACACACAGGCTTTCATACACAAAGCAGAAGACAGGGTACAAAACAATTAGTTAGCCTTCAGTTAGCCTTTATCTTCAGTAATAATCCAAGGAGGATGTTGCTTTCAGCAGTCATTTTGTAACATCAGGAGGTCTGCTTTTATGATTTATATCTGGATATGTTTCATCACATACTATACTGACATGAATTCTGTAGTATAATAAAGGGTAAAAGGCCCAGACAGTCTTAAGAACAGTTAACACCACTGCCTTAGGGAGGACTTTCTTCTCTCTTAACTGGACACATGGGCTCTTTCCTCTTGTTTCACGTTGTCTCGGTAATATCCAATCTGTGCAAGATGGATATGATGTAAAAGATGGAGGGCAGGAAAGAAAAGATCAGATAACACAGACACAGATGTTGTTGCGGACGGATAATAGAGAAGGGGGTATAAACAAGGGAATGAAAG